ATCACCAAAAGGATGTTGTCTATAGCTATTAGCATACATAATGGCCTCCCTTGGGGAGCCCTGCCCCTCTGCCCGAATGTTAAACTGAAGTAAAGTGCCTTTGTTCAGCTGGCCAAATCAGGAGATGTTTTGCAAGACTTATGGCCTTTTTACATTACTTCCTCCCCCTCTCTGTTCTATAAAAGAAACTGGCATCCAGACCCCGATAAGATGGTACTCTGGGACATTAGTCCGCCATCTTCTCAGATGCCCAGCTTTCCAAATAAAGTCGTCTTCCTTGCCTCGACACCTCGTCTCCCGATTTATTGGCCTGTTGTGCGGCGAGCAGAGTGAGCCTGGACTCGGTAACACAGTCACTTATAAGTTGAGGATTTCTTATACATAGCCCAATACCACAAAGTAGACATTGAACAGTACTTGTGTTTAGGTGTGAAAAATCAAGTAGGGTAAGAATTTTTTAATGAGGTTTTTTTTGGAGTAGATACTATGCGGCACGTATTCATATTTGTTAGGCTGAGTTCTTCCAAAGTTAGAAAAACCTATGATCAATAAAGGTTTTTATTTTGTGGTTCCAAATGGTCGGTATTTTTTTCCATTTGCAATTACTGTTGATAGCTCAATTTTCTTTGCATCAGTTCCTCCCTCTTTCTTCATTGCATTAAGGCCATCAATACATCTAACTGATTTGTTCTTCACAGGGAATATCTTCAAAACTTACTTTCTAATAGTTGAAACCTGTGTCTAGATATCTCCTACCTCTTTTTCCTTCTTAGTCCGGAAGGAGAAGAATAAATATATTTGAGCCTCTGGGATCAACCTAGAATGCTCTGGTAGTTGGCAAATATCTCTTCCCAGCCTACAATTCATGCCTGGAGGTAATTATCAGACTTTTCATGTGCCTTTGGGTGCAGAGCACCTTTAGAAGCACCTAGAGGTCAGTCCCACTGAAACCGAGCGGGACTCTGTGGGGCTCCTGGGCACGGAAGGCCTTTCAAACAGTTGCTAATCAGGGAAGGGAGGGGATGCAGAGGCAGTTCAAAGACACAGTAGTGCAGCCTTGGGGCAGGGTCCTGGTTCCCCCTAAAGGGATACACGTAACAATATCTTTGAGCTCTTTTGCAGAACTAAAACCCCCACCAAATGGAAGATGTTAACTACTTGATGAAGCACTCTTCGCTCGAGAAGGTCACAGTTCATCCATCATCACCTGACTCCAGATAACCTCTGGATTGAAGGAATGCAGGCCTTGCACGCAACCTGCTTCTTATCAGCAACCCAGCCCCCCTGCTTATAAAACTCCTCACAAACCCCCTACCCTCACCCCCTGCATTGGGACACACAGTTTTGAGGGCGTTAGCCTGTTGTGGCCCCCTTTGCAATAAAGCTATTCTTTTCTACCTCACCCAAAACTCTGTCTCCGCGATTTAATTAGGTGTCGGAGTACAGAGGCCAGATTCGGCTTCACCACCTTAATTAATGCCGCACACTTCAGTGGCTATACAGATTGTGGAGCCCAGTTGGGCGACAGGCCTAAAATGTTGATTCAATACCATTTTTACACTCT